GTTTTCTAACGTTCTTCAAAGACCACTAGGTTTTATAACAGATCTTTATACTTATAGTTTAGCCTTCAAAGGTTAGTTCACCCAAAAATTAAAATTCAGTCATCATTTACTCACTCTTAGGTTGTTCCAAAGTAAGACTTTCGTTCATCTTCGAAACACAAATTAAGCCATTTTAATGAAAGCTTAGAGCTTTCTCTCGCTCCATTGACAGCTACACAACTACCACTTTGACGCAGTAGTTTAAATTTTGATATTTTTAGGTCAAACCGTTCTTGTCTGTCAGTCATATAATGGAGGTCTATGGTCACCACCTCAAAGAGCATGCACAGAGAAGTCCAAATTAAACATGATTTAATGACTCGTAAATGTAAGTACACATTGATGGCCTAAGACACGAAACGAGTGGTTTGTGTGAGAAAACGAACAGTATTTATATCGTTTTTACCTCTGGATACCACAGCCACGAAGCGCCTGCGCCCTCAGATCACTTGGCTGTGGTTACAAGAGATAAAAACGAAATAAATACTGTTAGTTTTCTCACACAAACCGCTCGTTTCGTGTCTTAGGCCATCAATGTGTACTTACATTTACGAGTCATTAAATCATGTTTAATTTGGACTTCTCTGTGCATGCTCTTTGAGGTGGTGACCATAGACCTCCATTATATGACTGACAGACAAGAATGGTTTGACCTAAAAATATCAAAATTGAAAATACTGTGGAAACAAAGACACCTACATCTTGGATGCCCTTGAGGTAAGCTAAAACTTATCAAAAATTCATTTCAAAGTGAACTATCCCAAGCAAGTATGGTTGAGCTTGTTTATGTCTGCTGATCAATGTTTAAAATGTGAACAAAAGCCTAAATTCAATCCATTTACCATATAAAGCGATTGAGACATTTACGTACATATGGATTATTTTTACAATCTCTTTATAAACTTTTTGAAGCATCTAGTGGTAGTTGGTCAATGGAGGGACAGAAATCTCTCAGATTTCATTTAAAATATCTTCATTTGTGTTCTGAAAATGAATGAAAGTCTTACGAGTTTGGAAAGACGTGAGGGTGAGTAATTAATGACAGAATTAGAATTTTTGGGTGAACAACCCCATTAAGCATGTTAGTCAGAGGTCAAACTATTTAATTTTTAGGTGGACTTTCTCCTTTCTTACAGTCTAATTATAAACCAGTCTCACTTACCTGTGTGCTCTGAATGTATAAATGGGCTCAACGTCCAGCGCTGCATTTCTGTGAAAGCAAAAAATGAAAGACTACCATATTAGCACACAGCAACAGCGCTAAAAGCAGCATTTATGGATAAAGATTTCTAAATATACTTCGAGACACCTACACTAACACAATTATAGTGACATACTTAACATTAGAGGGCAGTGAAATAAGGATCTTTTGGGTTGTGTGTCTTTAAGATGTGTTTCTTACTTTTTGGAGTGCATTGCCTTGTTGAGGTTCCACAGCTTGAGTGTCCCATCCTCAGAGGCGGACAGCAGCACGGCCTGGCTGGGGTGAAAGGTCAACGCTCGGATGGCGTCGAAGTGGCTTCGTAGTGTGAAGCGAGGGTTCCATGTTTTTTTGAACTCTTCTCGACTTTCCTGCAACTAAAATGAGACATGAAAATAAATGAAGAGTAATTCATACACACAACAGAAAACTATAATACTGCCAATTTTACAGAAAATATCGCAATTAAAAAAAAAACACTAATCATTATCAAAAGAAAATGTCTTGTAGTTTAAATTAAATGCAATTTGCTGAACTTGAGAGTGCTTTTTGACCCAGCTTTTTTAATGCTTAAAAACACACTTGTGTGGGGAGGAGACATTACTTATAACACTAACATCAATGGTGAGGTCATTGTCGTTGGCAACAGTAAGGTCCGCCAGCTCTCCGAGGTTCATATCTCCTCCTCCAACCGCATCCAGAATGAAGACATCAGATGAGAAGCCAAGAGCGCCCCCTTGAGCACAGGCACATACACAACAGTTAACATGCTGAAATTGAAATATAAAAAATATAGCTGTTTATAGCAGAAGTTGAAATTTAAGCAACACTGAATATGGCTGTGATGAAAATGCATTTTTAATTTGCCAATTAGAACTATGCCAGTATAATAATGTTGTCTCTAGACACTAAAACATATTTTTAGTTGAAAAAATAGTGACAGAGTTAGAAAGTCCAAATCATTAACAAACATTTGTGTTTCAATTCTTTTGACTAGATTGAAAAATGTTAAGGTCTCACCACACATTTTCTTTTTTTAAATGCAAATAAATATTAATACTTGCTAATTGCTATTATACACACATATACAATTAAAATAATAAATAAAATAATATAATATAAAAAATATAATATATAATACATTATAATATATATATATATATATATATTATAATGTATTAGATATTATATAATATAATATAATGTGGAAAAAAATGTCTAAATTTAACCTTTTTTTACTTCATGCATTTAATATTTTTCTTTTTTGGCAACAATGATTGTCTGTTTAAATAATGATTATGCAAATTAAATAAATACAAAAATAAAAATTAATAATATTTAATAATAAATATTTAATGAAAATAAAATAATTCAAAAATCAACTGAGCGATATGCATTTGACATTTTAAAGAAATATTTACTTATAAGTACAGCTGTACTGATAAAGTAAAAAATGATTCAATAATAGAATATAATTATTTAAATTCATAAAAAAATTAATCATATTGGAAACAATGAATATTTGGTTGAGTAACAAATTACTCTATCCATCAATATATTTATTCATTCATTTTGAATAGCATATAGATACATTTTTATTATTTCCAAAGGTGATCGGTTTGTGATTCAGAGAGCCGGGTGGCTGTTCTTACCCTCACTGGAGCGTGCCTGGCCCGGGATAGAAGGAGGTGGAGTGGGTTTGGGAGTAAAATCTGACATAATGCCTTGCAATTTGTTTCGCCGGTTCTCTGACCCTGGGTAGAGGAAGTAAGAGAAGTAAACAAACCAGATGACAGCAGAAAAACAAAATCAACCATTCAACATGTTGAAGGGAATATCAAGGGAAACAAACAAACGTAGAGTGAAGTGAAACGTGAAGACAAAATGGTGGCCGTGTCAACAGATTTTATCAACAGGAAGTTCCAAACAAAAGCAAATTAAAAGAAAACAATGAGCGGTCACAGCATGACGATAAAGGGTAAACCTCACATCCACTATCAAAAATACAATGCAGGAATGAGTTGCCGTCTAGTAGTACATGTCTCAAATTCAATTTCCCAAAAAATGAACATATGAGAACTCTATACCTAACTCACGACCGTCTCCAGATATGCGAGCTTCTCCCGCACCTTCCCCTTCCTCTCCTGAGGCCAAGAAATCAAACTCGCCCAGGGCGTCCTCAGAATCATCTTCATCATCCTCGTCCTCAGGGTCAAAATCTGTAGTCATGGGTTCTCCGCCCATCTACAGGCATACAGACCAAACGCTATTAGCAACAAAACAGGATCTGTGGTGGGCCTTATCTTCATGTAAAGATTCTGACCTTGCTCCTGGGCTTCTTGTTTTTGCGTCCATCAATGCAGTCTGTAGTCATGCCCTGGAAGTCTTCTTCTTCATCACTGTCGTCCTCATCGTCGTCCTCACAGCCACGAAGGAAAGGGATTTTATCCAAGACAGAGCTGTCCATCCGTTCTTTCGAACTCTCTTTCCCAGCACGCCTGTAAGAGAGAGATTTCTATACTATTACCACAACAAACACGATTGCAGAAACTAGTTTGAAAACTGGCTTCACAAACACCATACCATATTAGAACACCCCTTATAAGTGTCTTGTGGCTTATCACTTTTATACAAAGCCAGCAAACAACAATATACAATGCTCAGTTAGGAGATATATTTATTATGGACAGGTAACAAGACACGTACTGGCTGCCAAGCAACACACGACAAAGTGCAGTTAAAGGAGTAGTTCACTTTTAAAAAAACTTTTGCGGAAAATTTACTCACCCCATGTCATCCAAGATGTCCATGTTTTTGATTAAGGTTTAATCAAAATTAAGGTTTTTGATGAAAACATTCCAGGATTTTCTCCATATAATGCACTTCAATGGGCACCAAAACGTTCCTGTGGTCTGTTCTGTGAAGCGCGTTCGTGACTCTCCTGTTCGAACTCGTTCATCAAAATTAACAAATCTTTTTCCTGTCATTTGGATAATTCAACGAACAAAATGAACAAATTGACTCGGGAAAAGATTTGTTCATTTTGATGAACGAGTTCGAACAGGAGAGTCACGAACGCGCATCACAGAACAGAGCAAGGCGACCATTTGAGCTTATAAAACTTAAACTTTGTTGTTTATTTTTTTAAAGAGCGATCGTTTCGCTTGATAAGACCCTTATTCATCATTTGGAATCGTTTAAAGCCCTTTGAACAGTTTGCACTGAAACTCTCATTTGGACCTTGAACCGTTTGGTTCCCACTGAAGTCCATTATATGGAGAAGTCCATTATTCTTTTCGACTGAAGAAAGAAAAAAAGATGGACATCTTGGATGACATGGGGGTGAGTAAATTATCAGCAAAAGTTTTTTTAAAGTGAACAACTCCTTTAAGGACTACTTCACCTGTACACAAACACTAACTGGACCTTATTTTTACACTGACTTAAATATGAGATGTGGAAAATGCATGCCGTTCTAACCGTTTGATCTGCTCTTCTATCTGGCGTACTAGTAGTGATTCTCCTCCTCCGTGAGGTTCTGGATCTGCAGGCGGTTCGTTGGGAGGAGGCCCGTTCGCCTCTGGACTATTGCGACCCAACAGGGAACGAACCCGTTTGGAGCGCATGTCCAAGATGGTGTCGGAGTATCCCACCTCCTCCAGGTACCTGCTCATAAACACACAAAAACACCACAAGCACAGCGTCAGCACAACATTTTGACAAACACATTTAAGAATTAATGCAAACAAAACACACTGACTTGCGCAATAACTGCCGGCCCTCCTTCCAAGGCATCTGATTGGTTGGCTCAGAGTCGGAATCTGCAGGCCCATTGGGTACTGTGAGAAACAGAATGATGTCACTAAACACACGGAAAACATAACCAACAGCATACAGTAGGGATGGACAACGATTAATCGCGATTAATCGCATCCAAAATAAAAGTTTGTGTTTACATAATATATTTGTGTGTAGTGTGTATAATTAATTTGTATATATAAATACCCACACATGCATGTATATATTTAAGAAAATGTGTTAATATATCAAATATTTATATTTATATATAATATTAATTGTGAATAAATATATATAAAATATATACATGCACATATTTCCTAAATATATACATGCATGTGTGGGTATTTATACATACAAATTAATTATACACACTACACAAACATGTATTATGTAAATACAAACTTTTATTTTATTAATCGTTGCCCATCCCTAGCATACAGTATTTAGTCTAATGATTCTGGGTATGATTAATATTGTTTAGGAAAATATGAATTAGACCATGTTTCCTAGCATGTGTATGTGTTTGATAGGTTTGTTTCTAGGTTGTTACTTGGTTCAGCTTCGGTCTCTGGTTTCTTCTCTCCAGGGCTCTGATCAGTGCCACTTTTCAGCTTCTGAAATTTGGACCTGGGATCAAAATAATGAGAATATAAATGAACAAAATACAATAGAATGTAAAAAAAGAAGAAAAAAAAATGGAACAAACAAAAACAGATTGAAATACAAAACAAAAACAACAGAACATAACACAAAAAGAGAATAAAAACAAAACAAATTTGAACAAAACAGAACCAAAAACATAAGAACTAAACAAAAACACAAAACAACAAAAACAGAACAGAACAAAAACACAACAAGAACAAAAAACTGAACAAAACAAAAACACTACAGAGCATAACATAAAGAGAACTTAAAAAAAAACACACACAAAAGAAGAGCGGTTTCACATTATACCGGGAGCTGAAGAAGCTCGTCTCTGTGTGTGTGTGTGTGTGTGTGTGTGTGTGTGTGTACCTCTCCTGTTTCAAAGCGTATTCCAGCATCTTGATTCGCCTCACCAGATCCTGCTTCATGTTCTCCTGACCTTTCCTCTCACCCTGCAGAAACGCCACCTGAGCCTGAGACAGCATAGGAAGACAGACAGACAGACAGAGAGAAAGACAAAGATATAAATATGGTGCAGATTCAAACCAGATACATCAGAGAGAAAATGAAAGGTTATATGCTAAAGCACCATGTTTGTACCACCCCCAATGACATTCTGAGGGCAACGGTTAACTAAAGGCCTGCAATTCCACAAGCTTTATTTTAGTTGGCTGCTGTCCGAGCACCGACCAGTCATGAAAGACAAATATGTTGACGGAAAAGCGACTATAAATGGGGAGAAACCAAAAACCATTCATTTCCCAGTCAGCTGTGGTTTAGAAGAGAGAGAACGAGGCCTCAATCGCCCCCTAGAGTCCACCGTAAAACCCACATCAATTAGAGATGCCAAGTTACCAACAAAGTCAGCTGTGTTCAGGCCAGAGAATTTAGTTTTTTTTTTAAATGGAGCATCCTTTAACCAGTTGTGCATGCGTCTCTATCAAAAATGACAAAACGTGCTAGTTATGGCCCAAGTGAATCTATGCTTTCAGGTAAATAAATAAATGTCTAATAGTGAAGTGTTGGTCAGAGGCGCACAGGTTTGCACAGTCATATTCTTATGTTCACAGAAATCAGTCACACCATCAGTGCACCTCACACACACTACAGAACTAAATTATTTAATAATATTTACCTTTAAAGGCCTAGTTCACCCAAAAATGAAAAGTCTGTCATTAATTACTCACTCTTAAGTTCTTCCAAACCTGTAAGTCTTTCGTTTATCTTCGGAACACAAACACTGACAGCTACGCAACAACCACTTTCAAGCACCAGACAGAAAGTAAAGACAACATTAAACTAATCCATGTGAATCCAGTGGTATAACCTCAATTTTATGAAGCGAGTGCTTTGTTTTTAAAAAACAAACAAACAACTTCATTTACAAAATGTTAATCTCAAATGAGCATTGTCTTTATTACCTTTCTGGGGCTTGAAGTGGTACTTTCTCAGCTGTAAATATGGAGAGAGAGAAAGCTCTCAGATTTGAAGATGATCTGATAACTTATGAGTTTAGAACAACATGAGGCTGAGTAATTAATGACTGAATTTTCAAATTTATTTATGACTTAATTATAGATAAAATATAAATAACTATATTTATCATTGTTAAAATCATACTGATAATGTACAACATATTATATATTTGAGTATCTGGTGATTAAAAATATTACACATTACAATATACAGTATACACTCACCTAAGGGATACTAATACTGTGTTTGACCCCCTTTCGCCTTCAGAACTGCCTTAATTCTACGTGGCATTGATTCAACAAGGTGCTGAAAGCATTCTTTAGAAATGTTGGCCCATATTGATAGGATAGCATCTTGCAGTTGATGGAGATTTGTGGGATGCACATCCAGGGCACGAAGCTCCCGTTCCACCACATCCCAAAGATGCTCTATTGGGTTGAAACCTGGTGACCATGTACATGGTGGCCATAAAGGGATGGACATGGTCAGAAACAATGCTCAGGTAGGCCGTCACTTTTAAACGATGCCCAATTGGCACTACGGGGTCTAAAGTGTGCCAAAAAAACATCCCCCACACCATTACACCACCACCACCAGCTGCACAGTGGGAACAAGGCATGATGGATCCATGTTCTCATTCTGTTTACGCCAAATTCTGACTCCAGTCAGAAGACTTCAGGAGACATTTGAAGACGTCCAGTCTTCAACTGTCCAGTTTTGGTGAACTCTTGCAAATTGTAGCCTCTCTTTCCTATTTGTAGTGGAGATGAGTGGTACCCGGTGGGGTCTTCTGCTGTTGTAGCCAATCCGCCTCAAGGTTGTGCGTGTCGTGGCTTCACAAATGCAATACAAAATGCTTTACTCCTAAAACCATGAATTTGTGCCCAAAACAGGGACAATTCCTTTCCAGCCTGATCTCTATTAAGAGCTTTTTTTAAATATCTTTATGTAGGCCATGTCAAGCCATATATAACATTTGTTCAAATTCAAAATCACTCCCTGTCTCCAAGGCTGACTTGCAGGAAAAGTGAAGCATGACAAGTTGGCACAGGTCTTCATGGAGACCGACTCACTGCAGTTGCCATGGTGTGGGTGAGCGTGAGGAAACCAGTTATGGCAGGTCTTTGGAGCACTTTGGACATTTCCACAAAGGCAAATAATTGCCCATGTTTTCGGCCTTTGAAACTGGGATACTTGTTACACAATGGATGTGCATCTGACACAATAGTCAATCAAGGAAATAGACTGCTTTGGGAATTACACATCGCAGTCTACCTATCAAAACATAATTAGTCTCATCACTAGCAGAAAAGGAAATAGCATACATAAGATGATCGCTTGGAAAAGTCAGAGACACTTCCAGCTGCCAAGTTCAGTTCTGTGGTGTTGTGCTGCAAAAAAATAAAAAAAATAAAAAAACACAATGTTTTTGGTCACTGAAGGTTTAGGAAGGGGCTGGTACTACCACACAGACACATTTATGTGGCGGACCGCCCCTCTTGTGACTTCCTGTGGGTGGGAACAGGTCAAGGGCACAAACACACTCTCTCTCCACATTAGTATCCCTTTGAGACTCACTCCAACAAATAGAGCAGCAGACTTTTTCTGGGACGAGTCTTTTTAAGAGTATATGAACCCATCTGAACTCTTTTATTAAGAGTTTTTACCACTTCTGTGGGCGAACCTTTGGCCTTCAGGTAAATGCAAAAACGGTTCTATTGACAATGCAATATTATATTGACATTAAGGGAGTTGACAGAGGTGAAGATACCTGCTGTAAAGAATCACATCACAAATATTGTGATTGTGACAGCCATATTGCTTGACAAATATTTATTGAAGTATTACCGGTAGGCTAATTATAAAATAGCCGTCATGCCATCATGCCATAGACCTGCATGACATTGCAATTGTTTTGTTTGTTTTCTTGCTACATGGATAAAACTTGAGCTGACTGCCATTATTAAAGGGGTTAATATCATTTTGTGTTGGCTACAGTGAAAAAAACAAAGATGAATAGAGGACAAAATCCAAAAGTGAATCATAAAAGTAAGACTGTTAAGGTTGGGCAATAAACAATATCGTATTGAGAACATTTACATTGATGATTGTCAAACCCTAAGAAGGATTGTGTCCGAACAACTGCAGCAAAGTGACAGCAAACATCATCATTCATCCTGAAGACCACGTTTCCACAAAACAGACCACAGAAGCCAACAAAGCCCACACCAATGAAAGAGACCCACTTTTGAGAGACCAAATGTACAAAAAAATGAGAGAAAAAAAATGTACTAAATTTTTTTTTAAATTGTTCTCCTTTAATAAAGAGATATGGCCTTTTCCCCCAGGTGTTTACAGTATTTTGTATAGATACATTTGACATTGTTGCAGCACCTCTCTTCCCAGTCTGTCAGTATTGCTGTTTATTTTCAGTCTCTATGAAGCTCTTACTTCCTTCCAATGTGCTCTGATTGGTTGACTAGACTAGTGTGCTGTGATTGGCCAACTACTTCGAAAACGTTTCAGAAATTTCAAAACACTTACAACTATGAGTTTCAAAACATAATAACAACTCAACTAGAGCCTGGCCGATAAAGGATTTTGAAGGCCGATACCGATACAAATATTTTTTGGGTTTTAAAATCCGATATTCCGATATATCGGCCGATATTTTTTTTTTATTAAATATTGTTGGATTTCATAACACGTCACGTGTAAAAGAAAAGCTAACGTTTCTGCACAAGATACGTTTGATACTTTTTCTATATGTCTAAATGTTCAATTCTCGCAAGTATAACTTACATTTTACAATGCAGGGACTGTAACTAGAGATATGCTAGCTATAAATACAGTAATCATTAATTTATTTAGGCAGAAAAAGTTCATTGTGGTTTCCAAGCTCATTAATGTTAACGTTAACGGTCTTCCACTGATGATAGTGGCATTAGCTTGCTTTGTGGTTAGCTAGTCTATGATGAGCCATAATTTAGCAATAGATAACATCATACTGCAAGTTGTAAAACATACATTTTCAATATAACAGGCCAAGGAGAGATGATTGAAGAAGCGTGTTTCGTCTGTTTTTATTTTATTTTTTAAATATTCATTTATCGGCCATTATAACTGCCGATACCGATATTATGGAAAATGCCTAATATCGGCCGGCCGATATATCGGTCTGGCTCTAAACTCAACCAGGCCTCGTCCCCTTTATTTTGTGTATATGCCTAGGGCGGGAATTATTTAAATGAAGAGCATTGTGAGTGACGTGTTCGTTCCTGGAAGAAAACTCAAGACTACAAAGGAAGCGTTTTAGGGAGTTCAGAAACAGTACGCACTGATATAGAGATTTCCTCCTTTTTGAGTGACTTTGTGCTTTGTAAGTAATTCTGCAAACCTTTTTCATGCCCATACAGCAACAATAAACAAAAAAAATGTAAAAAAGCATAATATGTCCTCTTTAATATTACTACTTAGGTTTAATTCATTTTTTGTATTTGTTTTTATTTCATTTCAGTAACTGATTTCTAATTTTTCTAACATTTCTCATTTTCACTTGGTTTAAAATGTATCTAATATTTATATTTTACAGTTTTAGTTAACAATGATAACCCTGGCTGCTACATAGGACACCATACCTGAACGATTATGTCCTGCCTGTCACAAAGGAAACACAAAAGAACAGGTGTCCCACATTAAAAACATCAGGGAGCACGATGTCCCACAGCAGGGCAAACCAGTTACTGTCACACTACAACTGTCCCTTACACTTTTTATAGGCCAAGTCAAAAACAATGTGTGTGGGAGATGGAAAACCTAGCAGTTGGTCCCTGAAGCCTGTGCACATTTCCATGGGCATGTCCAGAAGAGGCCTGGCGGAAGAACACACACTAGTCTTCCATGAGAGCCACAGGGCCTGTCCTATTATAGCACACACTCGCAACTCCTTATGTAATCTACTACAGGCACTGTTTGAATGGGGTCACTTAATCGCTAAGCTTTTTCTCAGGCCAAGATCTGCAGCAAACTAGGCCAGGGAAGTCCGATTCTAAAAAAATTTATTGGAAGCTAATCCCTAATCCTAGGTTGAATCCTATGTTTTTTTCCCTCCTCTCTAATATGTTCTTGATGTGAGTACAAGCTTTGTTTCCGGTTCCATATAAAATAACTAGAGCCATACATCTTTCACATATTGTAATGTAATACATGTAAGTAAAAGCATTAAATTACAAAATTGATTAAATTATAAAATTGCTTTGACATCTTCTGTGCTAGACACACAGATCGGCTCTCTTGGGACTGAAAAAAAGCACTTGCTTTAATTCTCCAGGCGGGCAGCATTACGTCATGTCTTGGACAGAAGCTACACAATTTACAAAAGAAGTAGCAGTCAATAGGTCATGTGACATCAATGTCAATTAATAGAACATTTATTTGGAATTTAAATTTCAAATAAATGCCAGCCAGGAGCTCCAGAACTGCCTTTATTCTATTACCTTGCACTTAATGGCACGGAAAAGAAAGATGTATGACAATAAAAAAAATAAAAATCATGTTAATAGTGCAGGATATGAAGTGTATCGTATTGTACAGAATATATAGCCTATTTTATCAAGAATAAAATGTGCATCAGTATGCTATTTTATTCCATCCGTTAATTCTGCTCGGAGGCTTCCATAAATATTTAGTTAATACGAAGAGTTACGCTTTAACTAAGTTTTTGCGATGCAAAAATATTTAGTAGCCTAATTGAAACTTCGCACCATTTTAAGTCAAAACTATAGCAAGTTGTAGCTGGTGCAACTGGCTCCATTTCTTTTAGGTAATCAAACTAATATCATGATGAGTATATTCCAATTTCTAAAATGCTTTTGCCACTATGGAATAATAATAAAAAAAAAAGGTAATTGGGACTTATTATCTTACAATATTGACTTATTCCTTGAAATGTATATGGGGATAAATCAGAATTGCAGGTTAAAAACTCAGATCTGGGTGAAATAAAGCCAGAATTGTGAAATAAGATAAACTAGGAATTCAGAGTAAAAAAAAAAGTCTGAATTAGGAGATATAGGCTAAACTCACAGGTTTAAGAAAAAATATGTATTGAATTGTTGTTATAAACTTGATATTGTCAAAAAAAGTCTGAATTATGAGATATTAACTCGGAATTCTGAGGCCAAAAGTCTAAATAATGAGATATAAACTCGCATTGGTAGTTAGTTATAAACTCGGATTGTGAGAAAATGTCAGAATTGTGAGGGAAAAATCACAATTACGAGAGAAAGGGTGATTTACTGAACCGCAATGTATTCCATAGTCAGGTTCGACTGTGAAATGGACCAAGTAGGCAACTAATTATGTTACTGCTTTTTTTTTTTTTTTTTTTAGTAAATTCAACTAATTGCACGACCAATCTAGTCCAATTCCCGCACGAATGTCAACATTTTTTTACTGAATCAAAAGCATACATTCAAGCAAACCATTCAGCGTTCGTTCGAGTATCGGATGACTCTTTTGTGCCGGTTCTTTTAAAAGAATCAAAACACATACCAACGAAGATGGTTTCAGTTCTTGAAATCTTTGAACTCACTTACTAAACCACACGTTGGTCAAAACTGTTACTGTGTTATATCATAACGTAAGATTTAAATGAGCATAGTAACTTAATTGGTTGGTCACCCTTGGGCAAAGTGTACTAAATATGCACAAACGTTAATTTATTTGAGCTATTTTTTATGATATTACATTACACAGTATTATATTGCATAGTTTTATATTAAGAAAATACGTCAAATCTCACAATTGGACAACAGACTGTGGCAGCAGTATACATTAAGAAAACTTCTTTCCTCATTTTTTAAAAAGTAACTTATCACAACAACAGCACTAAGGAACTAGAATCGTTTAGATGAATCAGAACCAGAATCGACTCTCCTTTCCTTAGGTGGGTATGGCTATTCAACAAAAGGACAACATTTCACAGTTAAATCTGCCACTGTTTCAATGAATAACATCAGGGGAATACTTCAATCCCAAAACTACGCCTGATCAACAATAAGCAGACGATCGTGACTTCTCCTGCGTTTTATCTGTAACGTGTGCTCTTCCTCAAGGAATATCCGCCTGCAAGAGACCAAAACAAGCGATTAATGAAACGCTGTTTTACCCTCAGCTCGTCTCGTTCGGCCTCCCAGCGATATTTCTCGGCTTGAAAGCGGCCCCATTCGAACTGGATGAAATGTAAGATCCCGGGCAACGAGAGGCCCGCTTCCCCGTCCTGCGGATCTCGCGGTTGGGAAGATCCAGCCATCGGCCCGGACACGGCGGCGGCTGCTGCGGTGGGAGCCGGACCGAGCACAGCCTTCGGCCCGTTCGGATTGCGCCCCGCTCCGCTTCCTGCGGGGCTCTGGTTCGTTCCTCCAGCCCCCCCGCCGGATCTTTCCGCCTCCATCAGAGCGTTCGAGCTGTCACCGGAGCCAGGAGGTGGAAATACAGACGAAAATGCCACCCCGTTGTTTGAAGTCTCCACCGAAGCCCTCTCCCGTTTTCCTGCCCGATACAGATAGACGAGCGAGTACTCATACACACGGAAAAATGCCAAATAGTGATCCACTCCAACCACTGAATGGCTGCAAACGCTCCTCCCCATGGGTCATTAAACAGGCTTCCGCAAGGGGGCGTTTTACGGCTCAAAAAATAAATTAAAATTTACACAACTGCAGGATTTACGATACTGATGATGACCGTTAAAGGTTAAAACGTTCCAGGAGTTGTGTATGCCGCTATACTCGTTTAAATCTATTGAGTAGAAATATTTATAGCTGACCCAACAAGTAAAATCACCTCAGCAATCCATACATTTTTTTAAAAGACAAAAGGCCAGTCATCACCAGACTGTGATTGGCCCATCCTGACGAGCGGTGAGAAAAGTAAAAGCTATCACGTGGTAATGTCGACTCCATATTTTTAATGTTACCTGTTCTAAAGATATTTAGTTTTTCTTCAAGATATTGTATGTTCTACATTTTCAATTACGAAACTGCATATTATAACTTCTCATTTTAATTTTCTACATTTGAATTAATTTAATCTGTTTTATTAAATCGTATGCCAAATTTGAAGAGAAAAAACACAATTGTAATTAACAAAAAAATCTTGTTTACAGATAACACAAATCAATACAAAATACACTGAAAACTTAAACATAGCCTATTTTTAAAACCTATATCACCGCTAAGCCCCGCCCATTTGAGAATGAAGTTCCATGTTATTTGTCATTCTACCCGCTCGTTTCCTTTCTACGGGATTGATCGGGGCGACCCAGTAGTATGAGCTTCCTGCTACATTGTGGTCTTCCCTCAGACTTCCTTTGCTCATTTCCGAATTAGTATGGGGAAGAAAAGCAAGAATACCGTGCAGACAGTCTGCTGATGAGGAAAATGTTGAATCAAACCGTAAAATGTTAGTTCTCACAATCGCGATTTATACTTTTGCATGCCAACGGGGATATGTGTATGCTTTTAAGATCAGAGGTTGCATAGATCTACATGAATCGATGATTGTAGGTTTGATTAGGTTTAATTTCGCGTGCGTGTTCTATATTTGTATAGACCTGTCTCGAGTGATCAAATAAGAGTTTCTCAAATACATGAATGTAGGTTATCTAGAGTACTTCTCTAATTGGGACAGCAGATTTGAACATCTCTATTTCTAGGTCATCTTTGTTGGTTAGACTTTGTAATGATGACTAATGGGCTTTTTGTTATACAAACTTGATATGGATGTCTCAAACAATAACTTTGTACAAAGTGAAATTGTTTATTAAAATGTTCTCTTTTTTCTCTCCTCTTATAGCATTTATTTAATGATCTGCGGAGAACTAAAGGCAATGGAGTCGAATATGGAATCTATCCATCAGTCTTTTTTTTTTCAGCTGAAACAAGCTGAACACAAAGGAATCAGCCGAAACTGATCTGGTCACTGAAGATGCTTCATCAAATATTTACCTCAAACACTTTCCACTTGGCTTGCTTTTTGACCAAACCAGATGGTCAAGATTTCAGGAATTTGGATGAGTTATGTTGGTCAAGTTTGTCAGTCCTCTCTCTACCTGAGATTTCACTTACTGTGTGTATCATAAAAGCATAACAATAAGAGCCATTATGCGTGTCAGTTTTTTCCATGCTCTGTTAACTGGAGCAATAATTTTAAACTTGCTCATCCTATATTATGTCTCCCGGGCCCAGCAGCAGATGATGGAGAAACGTCGGGAACAAGGTAAGGGCTTAAAGAAAGCCTCTCTTCCTGTGCCAGGACTGGGTAATCTGGTCGGTGGAAGTATAGTTGGAGGCGTCAAATTGGGAGGCCTTGAGAGCAACACGCGTGGCCCTCGCATCACAATCCTTGTCCGTGAATTTGAAGACTTTGAGAACTATGTTGGTGATGTTGCTCGCTCTTTTTTGCGCCAGAGACCAGAGTTGCCCTTCCTTGCTGTAGCCGAAAGTCCGCCCTACCCTCCGTTGGCTCTTCCCGAAGGAGCCCGGCTCCTGGTGTTGTCGCCGAGCCCTGACCAGCCTCCACAAACTCACCGTCCCGAGTTCAACGTGCAGACGGAATTTGCTTTATTAGTTCCAGACGGTGTGGAGCTGGACCACGGCCGACAAATTGAGCGTCTCATTCGGGAGCTGGAAGGAGAAGGTGGCGGGCCGGTCCGACTGGTTGCTGCGCCGGTGCTGACCCGCTCGGCAGTGCAATGCCTGCACCTTCGGGTGAATCTGCGGGAATGGACCGCCACCTACACCCCTGCTGCCTCGGGGAGCAGTGGTAGCGTCTGCACAGCCCTCCAGGGAGACGCCGTGGTTCTCATCCGTACCGAGGACCTCTTCAATCTCTCTGTTCCTTTGGGTCGTCCCCTGATGTCTTCCCTGTTTGTCCAAACATCTCTGCGGGGATGGAAGGTCAAGCTCCTGGAGGGACCTTCATTCTCCGCCAGTCATCGGCCGCTGTTTACCTCTGCGCACAACCAGTGGAAGGCGGATAGTCGCCTGAAAGATGCAACCAATCACCTCTTGCGCAGCTTTGGCCTGAAGCGCGTGATCTTGCCTGATGGACGAGATCAGTGGTTTGGCTGCAGTAAAGAGACGCCGCGATGTTTCGGCACAGTGCGTGACGACACACCGGAATACCTTTACGTGGAGCGCTGGACTCCACCCTGCTGCTTGCGCGCCCTCCGAGAGACCACCAAATATGTCGTCAATATCTTGGAGAGTTCTGGTGTGCGTTACTGGCTGGAAGGGGGTTCTTTGTTGGGAGCTGCCCGACACAAGGACGTAATCCCATGGGACTATGACGTGGACTTGGGCATCTACATGGAGGACGTGCCGAATTGCGACTACCTAAAGAACCTGGACTCCGGCTCACTGGTGGACGCTAACGGCTATGTGTGGGAGCGAGCTGTCGAGGGTGACTTCTACCGCGTCCAGTATAGTGAAGCAAACCATTTGCATGTAGACTTGTGGCCCTTCTACCCCCGTAATGGAGTTATGACCAGGGACACTTGGACTGAGCACAAACAAGACGTGGAGTTCCCAGAACATTTCCTGCAACCTCTGGTGCCAATGCCATTTGCTGGCATCACCGCTTATGGTCCAAACAACCACCGTGCCTTCTTGGAACTCAAGTTTGGGGAAGGGGTTATTGAGAACCCCCAGTATCCCAACCCTGCCAAGAAAAGGCTGGACAGGAGTCGCGCGTTAGGGTCATAGCAAGCATTTTGCGCAATACTGCGTTTCTGACATTTAAAAAAAAATCTTTGTAGAGTATAACTACCAGACTAAATGTTTTGGTCTTTGTCTGAACACTTGAATGTTAGTGTTTCTTGCCAATTTTATTTATTATATGTGTGTGTTAAAGTCTAAATAGTCTAAATATACTGTGTAACGATGGTAATAAAGGTTTTTACACTGGCATAAAGGTCATAGCTTCTTTTTTTCATAATACATGATATTAAACACATAACAAAAGTTAATATTTTTTAACTGATTGTGACAAGTTTTAAAAAGCCTGCATCTTTCTTGAAAAACTGATTTATGTTTTGTAGGTCCACGAGTGAACCATTTAATAACCCAGTCAGCTCAAACCTTGAAATAATAACACCACTGGTTTTCAGATGTTATGGTCACTATTATACCACTATGTAGAGTGTAGGATGTTTTCATTGACATACATGTTGAAAAAGACTGGAATCCATGACTTTTTGGTAAATCTGAAAAGAAGCTATACTGTTTCATGCACCTATTCACTTTATTGATACTTGCACCAGATAGATTAGACTGATATTGGTCTTGTTTTTCATGTGTATGATTTGTTTTGTTTCTTTTTCCATTTACATATTTAAATTTTAGATTTGATTGTGAGACTGTTTTACTGATTTTTTTTAACGAATTGGACTGTTTTCTATTCGTTCGTATTTTGATGTTGATTTGTTTTGGCACCTTTGTTTCACAAATGTTCTGTATAGTACATTACTTGCATAATGACAATGAAATATTGAAATGTAAATGATTAGGTAATAACAAACAATAACATAACTTTACCACTTGCTGTGTCTTAACATGTAAATGCATTTCAAATGTCTGGAAATTTCAATAAATCACATGGAATTACTTTTGAGTTTTTAATTTGGTGTTCATGGTGTCAGATGTTGCAGGACGTGGAAATATAGTTACTGCAAAACAGTAAATAAACCACAAGGTGGCGCAGTAGGCCATGAAGTCTTCAAACATGCTGAACTTTCTGCATTACAATGTTAATTTGGGTAATTTCTAAATCAACCTAAAATATTGTCAGAAGCAAAGGAGTCTTGTATTCCCTAAAGGCGTTAATTTTGCAATAATGATCAGCTGACTGTACATAATCTTTCCAAATAAACGGCTTCCTGCCAAATAAATAAATGCACAGACATGAGTCAGTAAATTTCAATGCGAGTTGAAATTATGTGAGAAGAACGACTGGAATGATATGAAGCACCGATACAATGGAAATCAGTAGCTAGTATTCCAGATAGCTGTATGATAAACATAATATAGACAATAAGAGATATGATAAGCAAACAAACACGTGGTTATCCTTTAGTTGCAAAATCATCTGGCAGCCAACATGTACCTAATTTTAGTGATTTTCCCAGACAACATTTCATGGTGAGTATTTGAGCCACAAATATCTGTTTTTCATGATTATTTATCAATGTTTTTCACCTTGGCTGAATTAGCCCCAGTTTGGGCCCCAAAGGGGTTTATCTATGCGTTTTATGTCGGCCCGGTCTGAATTAGCCCCAGTTTGGGCCACAAAGGAGTTTATCTATGCGTTTTATGTCGGCCCGGTCTGAATCAGCCCCAGTTTGGGCCACAAAGGAGTTTATCTATGCGTTTTATGTCGGCCCGGTCTGAATCAGCCCCAGTTTGGGCCACAAAGGGGTTTATCTGTGCGTTTCATGTCTGCCTGGTCTGAATTAGCCCTACATGGATTTCAGAGCCAGTCAGAATAGCTTTATTATATAGCCTGTTCAACTTTCCATGCTGGTCCTATCTGAATTAGCCCCCAAACACATTTGGGCCCATATCTCAAACCCTTACCATACCTACATTGGCCACACCATGAAATGTTGGCTTGAAATTCATAAGAAAGACTACATGGAATTATTTTTTAAAAAAGAAAGTCTTTATTCTTCACCGAGTTTGGAGTACATTCACTGGTTCTCTTAACAGTACTCTTTGGCTCCGCTGATGACATCATGACCATCACACAACCACCTGTTAAACCCACACATATCAGCATCAACAGGGCAGCTACACTACAGCCACCTGGAATGAGAAGCCTTTACAGTACTGCACATACTACAGGCCTTTAATGGAGTGAAGTTAGTCACACAGAACACGTGTGAATTGAAATAACACATCCATGATTTGAAGCACTAACAGACAGAACAGAAATGATAGACTGACAGATAATGGTGCAGACTATAAGTACCGAACACACTATTAAAATGATGGCAAATAAAAAAGTAATGTTCATCTTTGTTCGGATTTACCACAGATCAAATGGGAGTCAAAGTGATTTCTACAGAAACGTGCCATTATGTTGACTTTCTTTTCGTCATTGTGACAAACATTTGGTCAACATACAGTACACTGGCGAATATCTCGCACCGTCGCCTGGTACTTTTCTTTCTGCTGGTGTGTTTAGGTTGTGCATTTATAAAACATTCCCATAAAAAAGGAAAATAAGAATAAAGCTATTCATTTCAACTACTAGTTACAGTTAAACATTCACCAGTAAATTGTATTAACAGAATATTCTGCCTGATTCTTCCTCCACATAATTCCCTACCTTTAGAAAATGGCAGGCATTTCATACTTGTGCTCATTTCCAATAACATGCATAGAAAAAAAAAAAAGCGGAAAAAAAACCCTAACCAGACCTCATAGGTTCGCTTTTAAAAAGGAAACAAAATTGCATACTTCATATCTGTATGTTTTTTTGTTTTGTTTTTTACCAAAAAAAATTATATGGAAACTTTTCATACACAAATTCTTTAAACAAACAAAAAAAGAAGATTCTAAGAAAAACAGAGAAACTCCAGATTTTTTCAAACATCTAATGTCCCATGTTCCTACACCACATGAAGCATTATTCTAGCTTAAAAAAAAATAATAATAATAACTAAAAATCCAAAAATCTCACTTCCAGCCTGGATTCATGTTCTAATCTATGGCTTTTTTCTGAAACGGAATCAAAACAGAACCTTTACATCTCTTTACCAAAGATGGTTGCTTATCAACCAGCACTCTCTCACCAACAGAATCCACCGCCTTGTGTGAACAGCCTTGGAGCTTTAAGACAAAACAGACAGTCTGATCAACTTTACCCCAAAGAGGAAGCAGCAAAACATAATATCTATGAGAGCCCTTAACTGTCAGACTTCCTACACCTTTCTTTTGGCTCCTCTAACTGCACGAGTTCAGTGAAGATATCAGCACCTGTCAGATGGGCCAACATCTGAGGAGCCTGGGGTGTTTTAAAGGGAATCAGCAAGTACGAGGTATTTCAGAGCGGCATAATGGAACAGCATGCCCCCCAAAACGTAGTATTTGGTGTGTTGATAAGACAGTAACGGATGCAGAGGTTCTGAAGGTACTTTGGCTTTTAAGAGATATTTTGCATGAAAAAAAAAAAATCTACGTTTTAAATTAGGAGCATAAAATCAGAACTAGAGCCAGGCCGATATTATCGGCCGATATTAGGCATTTTCTAAAATATCGGTATCGGCAGTTATAACGGCCGATAAATGAATATTTCAAAAATAAAAACGGACGAATCACGCTTCAACCATGTCATGAGTGTTGGAGTTGTATAGTTTGTCCACCAGAGGGGACTCTACATCGTCCCTATTGGCAACAGTCGTGTATAACGCGCCACACATCCTGCAACCTGCTGATCCAGCCAGAGAGAACCAGTTATGCATTATCATATTATTTTAGTTAAAACTCATAATTAACTACAAATAACTCATGTTAGGGAAATCTGATAATATTTTGTTGCACGTTTCTAAAATAAAATAATAATATCGGCCGATATATCGGAATATCGGATTTTAAAACCAACAAAAATTTGTATCGGCCATCAAAATCCGTTATCGGCCGGGCTCTAATCAGAACTAATAGGGCATGTATAATAATACTAACAATAATAAGATTATTTTAAAAAGGCCTGACTTTTTGTATATATATATAGGAGTAAAGAAAAAATAAAAATAAGAAAGAAAAAAATGTCAGACCAGCATCTAATAAATAATTGTTCAAGCATTTTTCCATCTAAATGTGCGCAAGTTTTGGCAGACTCTTTTCATAAAGAGCTGGGCTTAGAGGAGGGCCAAAAACATATAGTCTGTGTCCTGTCTTAATCGAAAACCGGCATCTCTCCCATGGTCACCGCGTAGATGCAGAGACTGATTTAGTGAGATCAGGCAGGTAGGGAAGGAAAGTTTCTTCAAATACTGTGCAAATCTACATGGCGGACTCATGGTCACGGGGTTTAGGTCCAACGACCTCTTCCAGTTCAAAGTTTCCCTGTTTCTCAATGAGCGGAGAGCTTTCTGGCTTCGAGGCGGGGTCTTCTTCCTCCACTCGCACCTTACTTAGCTCCGCCCCCTCTTTTTTACTGGTACGATCCACGAAAAACTGCAGAAGACCTGCTCCGTAGGCGTCACCTTCCACATTGATGACGGTGCAAGTGCGATCGCTAAATGAAAGTGGAAAAAAAAGGATTTATCCTTATGGTTTCAAAAATAATATTATTTCTAATATGTCTTTTAATGCAAACAATTCTTGTTCTCCTCCCCATCGGCTATCCATTCAGCTTTCCCACACCAACTTTCTCTTTAAATAAAGGTGCTCAGATTGATCGGGCGCCAATAATTAATTATCAGCCGATAATAGCTTTATACTGTATATCTTGATCTGTGGTCACATGATGCAAAACTTGCGAGACAATTTTTCTATGCACAGCTAAAATTATTAATAGTTTCACTTCAGTCTGGCAGTTCTACCAGATGTCTGAAAAGGACAATGAATTTGCAATGTCTTTGCACGGAGCAGAATGTTGATAGTCAGATCTGTTTTTTATTGGTATTATTTATTTCCCAGTAATGCTATATTTGTTAAGCTCTAAGCTGTTCCTACTCATCTCTAAGGGAGGGAATGAAATATGTTGCTTTCCAATAATTAAAGAGTTATCAATTCACGATACTTTCTCATCTCTTAATTTTTTTTATTCTTAAAATACATTATTGTAAATAATAGTACTTTTTTTTTAGGGACTAACATACATGTTGCCATTTGATGCATTGTATCAGAGTTAGCCATTTAGGCTCACCATATAGCCAAAAACAAACTCATTCATCCCCTTCATACATATAAAAAAACAACAACAACAACAACAACAAAAAAAAACACATTTTATCACCACCACATCAGCTTTAGTGAGGACAGATTTGAGTAGTCTTCAGAAAGGATTTTAGTTCGGACTTAAAACTTCTGGAATTATTCTGCTCTTTACGTCATTCGCTATTTCATTCCACTGTGTAATGGCTTTGTAAGAAAAAGCAGATTGTCTAAAGGTTGAAAGACAGAAAGGTATATTACAGCCAAAAAATGGAAGCTATTCTGGTAGATTTTACTGAAGTTATGGGGCGATTGCAAACAAATACCAATAAACAAGGAGTGCCCAGGCCGTGTAGAACCTTATACGCTAGAGTCAAGTTTGAAAAGAGTCTAAAATTTTCAAAACTCAAATTATGTTTCTCTAGGATCTTGCAATGGTGATACAGAAATGGCTTTTTATCAAGTATTTTTGTAGCTTGCTTGTATAATGATTCTAGAGGTCTAATGGCAACCTGTCCCCAACAGGTGATACAGTACACTAATCTGTCTTAAGTTTGCCAAATTGTATTTTAGTTTTTGTCATTTTCCTTATGCGTTTATGCATTTTATGTGTAAAATTGAATCTAAAATGACTCCAAGACATTTAAATTCATGTCAAATGACTCATTTTTAATTAAAATATGTGCAGTTTGAGTCTGCATCTTATTTTTACTAAAGAAAATACCCTTTGTCTGACTAATATTTAAAGTAAGACAAGATTGTTCAAGCCATTCAACAACACCTTGAATGGCATAAGTTAATTTCATTAAGCATTTTTTGCATGTGTATGCCAACTCCATTAAAATGTTCATTAATATAAAGACTAAAAAATAAAGGACCTAATACAGATCCTTGAGGCACTCCCATTTATTTTGTACAAATGTAAGTACACTCCCATATACTTCCACTGATTGTTAACCAGACCAAAAATCCTAATCAGAGCGTCCTTATCTTTACCCCACAAAAACATCTAAACCTGATACTCACACGAGCCAGTCCACAGCCAAGATGAGAGACAGATCGCTGGTGGGCAGCCCCACTGATTCTAAAATAATGGCCAGCGTCAGCACTCCTCCAGCAGGGATCCCAGCAGCTCCCACACTCGATGCTGTCGCAGTCACGCTATAAAGGAAATAACAGTTAATCTACAACGTCAACATCTGCCAATCAAGCAGAGTACAGAGGTGACTAGAAGACATCCAATGAACTCACAGGATGGTGATGACCTGGACGAAGTTCAGCGGGATTCCGTTAAGCTGAGCGATGAACACCGCAGCAACACACTGGAATAAGGCGGCTCCGTCCATGTTGACTGTGGCTCCGATGGGCAGGATGAAGCGGCTGATGTGCTTAGACACACCGTTGTTCTCCTCCACACATTTCATCATTAGGGGCAACGTGGCGGAGCTGATCAGAAAAGCAGATGGTTATTTTCTGCTTAATTACTCATTTAATAAATCTAAATCAAAACAAGGCGAGTAATCAAAATTAAATGTGGTGTAATAAAACATATCTTATACTCTAATAGGCTAGGAATCTGATCACAGGAGACAGCTGAGGTGCATGATACTTCCACTTGTGTTTGGATCCAAGACAGATGTAAATACCAGGGGTATAAACTTAATTTAAAATAGAGGTTCCAAAAGAACGCTTTAGAAGCGACACCATATGTGTTTAATTTTAAATGTATATTGTTAAATTTAATTGTATGGACAGTACATTCTCTCTCCATAACTGCATTTGTCTGCTTTAATAGCTCTAAAATGACGCTTTGGAATTAGCAACGGAGGCTTGGGGTGAGATGCATCAGAAATTAGTCCTACACACAAGACTATTTTAAGGACAAAAACTTGAGAAATGTCTTGAAATAAATAATCTTAATGGTTTGATGTGTGGTAACTGTAGTGTAAGAAAAATAAATGGCTCCGCGCCATTGAATTATTCGAAAAATAATCCACACCCTAGGTGTAACTTGGTAACATTACCACCCTTGGGTGTGCATTATTTTTCAAATAATTAAATGGGACGGAGTCAATTATTCCTTACTTATTGCCATATCAGCTTCACGGGCTTTTACATAGCAGATAGGCAATAGATTGAACATTGAACAAACTATACAATAAATTACCATTTTAATAAAATTCAATTCAGATAAGACACATCTATGGTATATACAATTCTTTAAATGCATTTCTAAGGTTGTCCTGATAAAAGCCGTCGTCTCATGACCTTAAAAATTGGGCAAGCCAAAAACATACACTTTACAGACCAGTTAACCTTTAAAAGGATTGTTTACCCAACAAATGAAAATCAATCATACTATTAGAAGAAGTAGTATCAGTAATCTGGTGATTTTGAAATGCAGGTTGAGATTGGATTTAGATTTTTGTACTGTAAAGCAATATTATTATATTTACTAACGTAATAATTGCATGAATATGTAAATCTGTTGCATTTCGCAGATAGTTAAATACTGGATTTAGATTTGTACTATACGGGAATGTTAATATTTTTATGTTTTAAAACTATTACAATTGACACTTTTTAGTGACTTTATAATGTAATAAAATTTCTCAATGTATAAAAAAATACATTATGAGCATAAGATTTTTATTACATTTTGAAAACAATGATTTTTTTTTTTTTTTAACAATAATAATAATGTAATGCCTATTAGATTATGTGCAGTTATTAAATTATGAGTCCCTCACCCTAACCAGAATGGCAGACACACTGGCAGTGTGAATGCAGCCAGGAAAATTATCCTAAGGGAACATTTAGTTCTCAGGAGCCTGCCCAGATGGCTATTTCCAACACCTACTCGGTGCAAAAGCCCATATAGATGCCAATAAGAACCTTTATTTTGAAGAGTAAGTAGCTGCTGTTCATTTACCTAGAGGAGGTTCCAAAAGCAGTAGCCAAAGCGGTGACCAATCCCAGCAAAAAAGTGTAGGGGTTCTTCCGTGTAATCACAAAGTAAATGAGCGGGAGGATGAGGAGACCGTGGATGGCGTGGCCAATGACACAACATGCAATGTACTTCCCGAGGCTGGCGAACAGCATGCCAACATCCTCCATTTCCACAATCTTAGCGGCAACCAGGAACATGATACCCAGTGGTGCGTACCTTCAGACAGAAGACATCGAGATATGTTTTGACAGAAGCAAAGAGGACAGCACAATCCACAAACTGGGAACAAACATCAACCACAAAAAAAAAAAAAAAAGTATATGATGTTCCCTCACCACATGATCCAGGAGACCAATACCATGGTGGCCTCGTTGAAAGAGTTGAAGAACTTAATAAGGATCTCTCCTTCCTCTCCAAGTTTCCTCAAGGCCACCCCAAATACCATAGCAAACACGATGAGACCCAGGATGTTCATGCCATCCACATCTGTGCCAACTGGAACCTAAACAAAAAGACACAAATGACTGAATTCAACAAAAAAAGAAAAAAAACAAAAAGTTTAAATGACATTAAACCATTAATATTTAAATGTTTTAATACATTTCTAGAATATCTAGATTTTAATCTAGTATAAATATTATTATATTAATATTTTATTTATAAGAAATACATGGGTTGGACAATGAAACTGAAACACTGGCCAATGTTGGAGGTTTCACATCTTTATGCCCGGCGACCAATCTTCAGAGTGAAGCACGGTCACCAGTCACCAGATCTAAATATTATTGAGGTGTTTTGGAGGAGCGAGTCCACCAGCATCATATAGTGACCTGGACACTGTTCTGGAAGAGGAACGGCTCATAATCCCTCTGGTCACTGTGAAGGACTTCTATCTGTCAATTGGTGCTGTATTTGGATGCAAAATGAGGCCCTGACCATACTAACAAATTATTGTGTTGTAAAACCAGGTGTTTCAGTTTTATTGTCCAACCCCTGTATACATACATAAAACGGATTTTAAACATGAAATATTTTTATATTAGATATATTTTTTTTTATAAATATATAAATTAAGTTTCAAGACAATCCTACGGTAAATCTGGGACTTGGTACCTTTTCCAAGGAGTAGATGGTCGAGTTGCTTTCATTCTTTACAATCTTGTAACCCGTGGCATACTGTGAAGAAGAAACATTCAGAATCATTTAATAAATCACACATCACGTAAAACACATCTGCTCTTTTTTGTTAAAGCAAAACTCGTTAAACCTACCGACTGAAAGGCAGCTGATACCAGGTTAGACGGGAAGATATTTCTGAAAGGAGGAGAAAGGTAGAAATTATATAACTGACATCCTTTAAATGAAACAGCCAATTAAATCAAACAAAGCCTAACTAGTTAATGTCAGAAGTTGACATTTTGAGAGGTGGCTTTTTGTGCACACAGAGCACCTATTGTAGTGTGCCCACAAAACCTGCGGGAATTGGGAATGAGAAGCATGAGTGAGAGGATGCAGGTGCGAGTCAATTTCGCCGTTGGAGAGATGTGTATTGGTGTATCGATACTGCAGAAAAGAAGTATCGAAATATCAATATTTTTGACAACCCCACTATCGAGTAGATTTTGAAAGGCTATGCATTCGGCTGTATGTATAAGCAAAGCATTCACATCAAAACTGACGTATACTTTGGACATTACACTATTCAGAACAAGGTAGTGAGAGAACAAATACCCAATTCAAGCCATAGTTTCAGCCCATCAGCAATACAAATCCTCACAGACCTGACCAGCCAATCTCTGAGCAGGCTAATGCTGAAATAACTTGGAGAATTTAGTCTGATTATATTCCTCCACTAATCCCAATTCCACACATTACCTCTTACCCCTATAACCCCGTTCCCTCTAATGGAGAAGAACTAGATGAGCACTAGGACCTGCCTGGAGATGGGGATTAATGACAAACACAGGCATTCAGGAACATTCCGGCATCTCTGACCGTATCATGGTCCGTGTGCATGCGTACAATAACAAAAAAGGAAGTCTTCAATCGGATGGAACGATGATGACTGGTAGTAGTTCACTTTTGCTGATAATTGCAAAACCTTTGCTGATAGTTTACTCATACCCATGTCATCCAAGATATCCATGTCATTCTTTCTTCAGTCGAAAAGAAATTAAGGTTTTTGATGAAAAAGTTTCAGGATTTTTCTCCATATAATGGAATTCAATGGGAACCAAACGGTTCAAGGTCCAAAAGACACTTTTAGTACAAACTGCAAACTTTTCAAAAGGCTTTAAACGATTCCAGACGATGAATAAGGGTCTTATCAAGCGAAATGATCGCTCATTTAAAAAAAAACAAAGTTTAAGTTTTATGAGCTCAAATGGTCGCCTTGCTCTGTTGTGTGATGTGCGTTCATGACTCTCCTGTTCGAACTCGTTTATCAAAATGAACAAATCTTTTTTGAGTCAACTCGTTCATTTCGTTCGTTGAATGAACCAAATAACGCGGAAAAAAAGATTCGTTCATTTTGATAAACGAGTTCGAACAGGAGAGTCACGAACGCGCATCGCAGTACAGAGCAAGGTGACCATTTGAGCTTATAAAACTTAAACTTTGCTATTTTTATTTAATAAGCGATCATTTCAATCGATAAGACCCTTATTCATCATTTGAAATCGTTTAAAGCCCTTTGATCAGATTGCAGTTTGCACTGAAACTTTTGGTCTTTCGGACCTCCAGTCTTTCGGACCTTGAACCGTTTGGTTCCCAATGAAGTCCACTATATGTAGAAAAATCCTGGAATGTTTTCATCAAAAGCCTTAATTTCTTTTCGACTGAAGAAAGAATGACATGGATTATCTTGGATGACATGGGGGTGAGTAAATTATCAGCAAAAGTTTTTTTTAAAAGTGAACTACTCCTTTAACATGCCAGTTTTTGCTCAGGCGAAACAAACGCACACAAAAAAAAAGTTACTTTCCAAAAAAGGCAAGTAAAAAGTTTCATTATAGACTAAATTCTGAACACATCTGGAATCTGTTGCCCATAGGGACCTTAATAAAGCGCAATCATTCTCACGAACACCTAAAGAAGCCTGGAAGGTGTGAGGAGAAGCGTTTTCATAAAATAGTACAGCTGAAGCAAGACGAGACTGGAAAACCGAGAGAAAAACAACTTGTAACTGTAGGCTGTATCCCAGACAGCAGGTCGTTCCCACCTCAAATTTTCCTCGTCTGAACATTCGAAAGAAAGTTAGAACTTAAGATAAATGCAAAACTTTTTATGAAAGCCAGAACACCAGGTGGAACCTGCACAGCAACACTGGTAAGACCAGTTTACACCAGGAAAACATTTAATTATGACACACACAAATGTTGTCACAGGTTTCCAAAGCTTTTTAGGCATTATTTACAACTACTACCAATACCACACAATGACAAATTTGTCAACAATTTAGTGACTGTAAGTCATGACGGAAATTTCTAAAGGCGTGTAGTAAAAAGGGAGACACGTCAAACAGGACCTTGTTGAAACGTGGCACTCAACACACCTTGACAAAAAATTGATAAAAGATTTATCTCAAGTCAAGTGTTTGCTTACATATTAAAAGTATCTGCTAACAGTAACTATACTCTGACTTTGCCCAGCCTAAAGAAAACTCTGTTTACACAAAAAAGGCCAGGTTGTGCGGGGAGTGGGTGGATTTCACATGCACTGTACATAAAGCACACACTAAGAGATTAAACAAACAAATCACCCAAAAATTAATAATTTACCGACCATCATTACATTCCATGACGCAGTTGACTTGCTTTCTTCAGTCGAACCGAAGGTTCAAGCTGCTGTTTTCCATACCTTGGAAGTGAAAGGTGATCAATAGCTGTCAAGCTAGATTTCCAGTGAGATAACTTCAATTTCAGTCTGTTTGGCACATAAACCAAACAATATGGCTTGAAAAGATGTAGCCAAAGTCCGTTTAGGCAAGTCATGCCACTCGGCCACCATCTTGGCAACGCCTCCGGGCAGCTATTTCGGACTAACAAGACCAGGCAGGCTCCTATCTAAATGAATGGGCAGAGAGTCAGAACTGGACTTTCACTGGTGACCAGGACATAAATACTGCTTGTATAGAAACACAAGTAAAATATGATAAAAATCGCCGAAAAAGTTTGATGATTTTGCCCCAAAATCAGGTTTAAAACACCTTTTTCCTCACAGGTTATACTTTTACTGCACATGCGCAAGGGTTCTCGTCTCCGCTGTCGCAAACCTCAACTGTGCGCATGCGTCAGTGGAACCATACGATAGGCATGTTTCCCGGCTTGACTGTTAAAAGCAGATGATTGGCTTTCCAGCGGGAGGGTCGGGGCATGTGCATACAACCGCCATCTTTGGCGTTACAGGTTTTCCTATATAGTTGTATTGAGGAAGTGACATGTTTCTATATAAATTATACTCACAAAGAAAGAAGGTCACAGGTTTGCAACATCAAGACTCACTTAACCTTTAAGATAAACTATATCTTTTGCGTAATACGGTGAAATGAGTTTTTGTTCCATGTGTTGTTGTTGTCAGGGTCTTGCCTTAGACAAGCTGATAAGGGAACACAACTACAGATAACAGCTGAAACAACTTACAAAAACGGATGCTAGAACGTGCTGTTAGTAAACTTTCAATATAAAGACAGTGTGCATGTAAGAGTATGAACGCCACAGTGGTCTTTGTGCTTGTATGGCAGGATTTATTCACAGTGAAACTCCAAGAGAGAAGACCCTTTGATGGATGACATGAGCTACATCAGCTGCCTAATTTAACCCTACTTCTGTTGTCCATGTTTGTACGTGTGTGGCCCTCATGTGGCAAGCATACGCCACCTCATTTACTTTCATTGGAGACACAGGAGCAACATATGTTTCAGTTTGGCTTTAAATTACGAATCCAAATACAAGTAGACAAAAACCTTTTTCTTTTGAATGATAACTTATGTAGTCTGAGGAATTGGTACGAAACAAGAAAATGCATGATGAGAAAAAAAAAAAAGAAAAAAGAAATCGAACTTTAGATTTAGAAGTTATTAAACTGCATTAACCTAAAGTAGCCTCAATGCTGTTATAAAACAGGCTTTGGCTTTTTAGCTCCTTCGGTCATGTGGGAATGAATAAACGATTGTTAGCAATCGAAACCCGGCCTCAAAGAGTATCAACCAATATTCCTCTACCAGTCTTAAAAGCGGGATCTAATAGCAATGAGATGCAGAGAAAGAACCAGTAGATCTCTGTTAAGGTGACCATATGTTTAAAACAATATTTTATACCCCATTTAAATGGTATTTATCTATTAATAAAAATGGGACCTAAACAAGATTAGGCATTGAAATGACTGTGATATATATAAATAAATAAATAAATAAATAAAAGCAAAAGGTATACAGTAGCCTACAACATTTCATATCTCACTTTGTGGCCGACTGACATTTCCAAGGACAGTCTACCAAAAACATGAAAACCCTGTTTCTCTTGGGTCAGGTCACCCTAATGTGTGTCAGTGTAAATATTTACATTTTATAAATATTGTAATGAATAGGTCTGGTGAAACTTATAGAAAATGTATAAATGGTTTACAAAAATGTATTTTTTTTGTTGTTGTTTTTGTAGGTAAATAAGAACATAGTATCCTTTTCACAACACTGTCCCAACACATGGTGAAATTTGACCTGTTTACAAGACAGCAGGGCCAACCCAAAAAACCCCAGTCAGTTTTAGGCGTGTCTTATGGAATGCAAGAGATGTTTGCGTCTTATCAAAGGATAAATATTTTTCATTTGAAATGTCTATCTATTCATTTGAATAACTACTACGTGCCAATAGGTCCATGCACCGCTGAAGGAAAAAATATAATTTGTCCAGTTATTTATATATTGAGTTGGCAAACCCACAACCAGAAAAGGGAAGGGTAAAGTGACACATCCATAAACACTGACCATCAACCTGCATCCTCTTCAGAGCGGATTATCCGCCAACACGAGACACACACGCACGCGCGCAGCTGATGCAACTCTAGTGTCCGTTTACAGCACAGACCAACAACGTCACGTAACTCACCCTATATAGAGTCAAAACAATGTCACTGAATGAATTTACGATAGTCGATGAAAAAAAATGAGTGGCGTTAATGATAAAAAAGGGTTATTTTAAAAACATAACATACTTAAGGCGGCTCCTGAACAGTAATTACTTTTCCCTCTAATGCATGTCGCCAGTCGGTGACTTCGACGCTTTGAATCGGAGCGGTCACCGACTGGCGACATAATGTATGGATAACGTTACATGTCGCCAGTCTGTGACTGCTCCGATTCACTTTATGTTGGCAATAACGGTGGTTTAACATTTGTTGTACAATGGTTTTGCTCTAGTGACATAGTCACAATGTTTCAACACTTTCTTATTCTTGGCATATGTGCGTAATGTGGTCTTTCCTCTTCCTGTTTGGCAAAGCTCCGTTGGCACATGAAGCCAGCGGAATAATATCAGCGAATCGGTTCTTTCGAACAGTTGGCTTATAGGTAACATTCAGTTCTTCTTGCGTCATGTGGTCGCTGGCATAGCCTAAAAATTCCCTAAAATTAAAGTATTATTTAAATAGCTCAAAATGTATTTGCACTTGAATGAAACAATATTTTAAATGGCAACTTTGTTTTATGCGTGTTGATAAAATGCCGGTATTACGATTGTGTTAATTCAATTCAGTCCTACTCGTGAACGAAATACTCAGACGCTTCAAACATGGAAAAAAGATCATTGAAAAGATCCGACTCAAAAGAAGGCTGCATTTACGTCATAATTCATTAGTTTAAAGCTAATTAAACAACATGAAACAGTGTGGGTTTGATTTTGAATCAAAAACGCGAAATGTGTGAACACGTGGCGTAAATTCGCGGAAAAATTTACAAAGCTTGACGTCAGGTTGCTGACTCACCTTATTAAGTCTAAAAACGAATCGATGACTTCTTTGGCCTCGGGAACACCGCTGTCATCCAGTGAGTTGATGGATAGTTTTTTCCCGTCATTGGCACCAGGCTGTATAATGAAAGCCATAATAACGCCGACAGTAGACGCGAGCAGAGTGGTCACCAGGAAGAAGAGCATCGCCCAGCCGCCCAACTTGCCCAGGGCTTTGGGGTCAATGCTGGCAGCCCCGGACACCAGACTACAGACCACCAGAGGAATAATGATCATTTTGAGCAGGCGGATGAGCAGCTCACCGGGGAACCCGAAGTAAATGATCTGAGTGCGGCTCATCCCGGCGCTGCGCACGCCGAGCCCGATGAACACGCCGATGATGACCGCTGACACCGTCAGGATGACCAGCAGATTGGCCATGGCGATCCGTTTCAGCTTCTGCCCGGTGGTCTCCGGCGCGCTCGTCTTGCGGTCACTCAAGCCATTGGAGACGCCGGTCGGGTCGGATATGTGCGCTTCACCGTTGGACGTCTTTACATCGTCTATGTAGATCTTTTCTTCCGTCATTGTGCTGTCTGAAGGTCTCCTGGTGTCCGGAGAGTGAATGTTAAAGCGCTAGGAGTCTTTGGTGTGAGCTGATTGTCTCTGCTCTCTCCTCATGTGCTGCTGGCAGCGTGGAAGTGAAGTGAATAAGCGTAAAGACGCGCGTTGGAGGAGGAAGTTACAAGACAGCGTCATATGGGCGTGGCGTCATAGATAGCCTACACCAGGTTTTGTTGATGAATAGCCTATTGCCTATATCATATAAACGTTTATATAATGGGCTATACAAGTGGCCTTAAGTGTATGAATGCCATTAAATAACTATAGTATCAAACAAATATCAATGTCAAACCAAGTGGTATTTAAAAAAATAATAATAATCAATACAAAAATTTAAAAAAGCAGTTTGAATGGTTTACAATTATAAAATAGAAGATATAATGGAAAGACTATAAGAGTACTAAAAACAAAAAATACATACATCTTATAAAAGTTAGTTTTGTTAGTAGTAAAAACATTCTAATAAAGGTTCTGACATTATTTAATTGCATTTTTTAAAGGAAGCTCTCTCTGAGAAAAGGTATATCATTTGCTTGCAGAAGTCATGGATTTCATATTTAATGACATTCAGACATTTTAGTGTGGCTTAAGTTTATTATGTGTACCAAACTCATCAATTTATTATGTTTAGTTGGTGTTTCATTTGAACATTGTGGGGTATTTCTGTCATATCCATAACATTAAGCAAATAAGGTAATAGAAAATTTGTCAAAAAATGACATAAAACTTTTCACATTGAACGTGTACTACTATAACTCCACGTAATACGCATAAGCCTGACTTCACCGTTTTCACAAATTCACGTTTTTATAGCTTACACAGAGGCGATAATGATACAATTTTCAAAAACTTGCAAATTGAAATCCATTGTAATTTAAATTAACGTTTAGTTAAAAATGGTGTCATGCAAACGACCCCTCAGTATGGAACCAGAAGGAACAAAAGTTCCACCTTGTTTATAGTTTTTCTTTTACTCTAAACATCCATGTACAACTGCAACAGTATAAAAATACAGTTTTTAGTGTGATTTGAGGTAAAGAAGGAATTTAAGATACTATTTTTTGTCTGATTGTTTGACGATTGAATTACACTCGACACACTTTGGGATATTCCAACACAATTTCACAGGAAACCAATTTAACGAGGAAGCGATTTCTGAATTTGCATGATGTGAATCGTAAAAAAAAAAAAAACATGATTTAACCAAGTAACTTGCCCCACATGGATACTGGCTGAAAACTAGAATACTTTTACTATTATCTGGCAGTAGTATCCCATTCCAAATTCAGCCTTTGAGTTATCCTGACAAAAAAAAACCCTGAACATACCATCACTGCATTGCCAAGAAATATATTTGCAGAGCAGAAAAAAACAACATCTCATTTTTAGCAGAAACCTGGTCTTCGTTCATGTCCTCACCCAGCAAGTAATTAAATATGCTGAAGACTGAGGTCTCCATATGGAGCCAGAGTCATTCCAGTCAGATTATCCTTAATAAACAAAACCCCTCATTTTCTTTAAACAGGTTTTTTTGTCCGGTGCAGTGCTTTATGGGAAGAGCTTGTATGTTAATAAGAAAAGTCTACACTCTATAAACAGTGCTGGCGCACTCATCGGGGTCCCTTTTTGAAACCTAAGGGTCTGCTTATATAAGGTTCATCTTCTCTGTATTAGACTGTGTGAACTTCACAGAAGCACGACATTCCATAGATATTGAGAGAGAGATTTGAGTGCCTGGGATCCGTACGGCAAGAGAGCATGATGTGCGGATGGGTCGAGGGGCCTCCTTTCTCAAAACACCGTTCGCTCACACACTTGGTCTCTACACTGTGCGTGTCACAGACGCCACGACCTTGATGCCCTTGAATAAACTCCACTGCCCTGTCTGGCTCCATATACTGTCCCCCTTCACTGACACTGCAGTTCTAAAGCTGTGGAAGGTGCTTTTTTATATCATTGCCATCTCATTTTATTGTAGGCTACTGCTTTGAATGTTGCCGAGTCATTTTACAACTGCAGTGTCATTTTCATCTGATTTGCTGATTTATATATTCATATCTAAACATAGATATATGGATATACTCTCAACTAAAGGATTATAAGGAACACCTGTTCAATTTCTAATCAACCAATCACATGGCAGTTCAATGCATTTAGGGGTGTGGTCCTGGTCAAGACAATCTCCTGAACTCCAAACTGAATGTCAGAATGGGAAAGAAAGGTGATTTAAGCAATTTTGAGCGTGGCATTTCACAATCTGCTCAGTTACTGGGATTTTCACGCACAACCAGTTCTAGGGTTAAGAATGGTACAAAGAATGGTGTGAAAAGGGAAGAAGATCCAGTATGTGGCAGCCCTATGGGCGAAAATGCCTTGTTGATGCTAGAGGTCAGAGGAGAATGGGCCGACTGATTCAAGCTGATAGAAGAGCAACTTTGACTGAAATAACCACTCGTTACAACCGAGGTATGCAGCAAAACACGCTAGAGGCCTGCATTTCAGCCCGAGCCCGACGGGCCCCGACTTATTTACACTCCTCGGGCCGGGCTTCGGGCCAATTTTAACGTCATAGTTCACACGCGGGCCGGGCCTCGGGCCTGTTTTAGGCTTATCTTTTTTATAGCCTATATTAGATATTACTTAAAATAAAATATGAGAAGATGACTATTGAAAAGCAAACATAGAAAGACGTTTTATAACCTATCTGACATATATGACTGACAGTCTGCTCACGTACACGCGCACACATTGTTTAAATGCCACAGCCCACCTGAGCATTGTTTCTGACCATGTCCATCCTTTTATGGCCACCATGTACCCATCCTCTGATGGCTACTTCCAGCAGGATAATGCACCATGTCACAAAGCTCGAATCATTTCAAATTGGTTTCTTGAACATGACAATGAGTTCACTGTACTAAACTGTCCCCCACAGTCACCAGATCTCAACCCAATAGAGCATCTTTGGGATGTTGTGGAACGGGAGCTTCGTGCCCTGGATGTGCATCCCACAAATCTCCATCAACTTCAAGATGCTATCCTATCAATATGGGCCAACATTTCTAAAGAATGCTTTCAGCACCTTGTTGAATCAATGCCACGTATAATTAAGGCAGTTCTGAAGGCGAAAGGAGGGGTCAAACACATTAGTATGGTCTTCCTAATAATCCTTTAGGTGAGTGTATAAAATGTGATTGGTGAAAACACAAAGTATTATGTGTTAGTGCATGTCATTTGGCTGTACTTTAGTGCTCTTACAGTTGGTTCAGTGCTGGCAAAACAAAGGAAACAGGGTAAACCAACCTGAGAGTCACATGACCTTTTACAAAGAAGAAGAAAAGCACGATACAATGCTGCAGCTTTTCATGTCATGGGAAAGCAAGTCCAGGCACAGAGTTTGTGAATTAAAGCACCTGAATGGCATCAGCGGAGAAACCTAATATAGTTTATCTCGAAAACCTGGCACTCTTCTTCATTCTCCTCAGCCACTGTATTGAACACAGAGACGACATTGTTCAGAAAAGTAAAGTACAAGATAACAAGAAAAACAGGCATAGACCAACGAGAAGAGGGTTATACAGAAGGTTGTATAAGAATATGTGCGGCAACATGTTTCCCTAGACAGCGTGTGTTGAACGTAGTCGTCAGGTTGATGAGTTCAAGATTCCCAAACGACACATGCTTAAAATAGAAAGTTTCCCTGAACTGGTTGTACTATGTAGTACATGAACATACTGAGTTTTGGAGAAAGCATCTTAAATGAATAATTGTACATGGAAATCTATGCATCTGTGTATAGGCTATTCTTGTAGCTGAAGGCACACACTGTAAAATGCTTAGTCACCCTTACTGAGCTGAATCATTGGTGCCTGATCTATTATTTCGAATCGTCGGCACTGAAATGATGGAATGCAGCTTATTACAGAATAATGGTCAATTGTAAGCTCAGTTTGGATGTTTTTCAACACATTCAAGCAAATGTGCTTGTCAGGTCATGCTGCAGATCCAATGATGCCTTTGTTTCTTGGAGGCAGTCCAGTGAGCTAAAACAGACGTGCTGAGATACATATAACTAAAACAGCCGAGTCATGATATGTAAGCAAGATGAGTTAATGTGCTAATCACAAAGCTGAGATTTGCTGTATGGGATATATACTTTTATTATTCATTTAGACAATTTAATCAGATCCAAACCTAATAAATGATTCATTTGTGAATGAATCATTTAGACCAGTGTTGTGAAGTGGATCAATGATTCATTGAATAGATCCAACACAAAAGAGTATAATTGCTCTCAGGAAAATGGCAAGGAAGCAAAGGCAGAGTTCAAGATGTTCGCTGAATAACCACTTAAAGGGAACGTTCACCCAAGAATTAAAATTCTGTCATCATTTACTCTCCTTCAAGTTCTTCCAAATGAATTTCTTTCTTCTCTTGAACACAAAAGAAGATATTTTGACAAATGTCGGTAACCAAACAGTTGATGTCAATGAGGTCCCATCAACAATCTGGGTTTCCTCACTTTTTTTAAGTTAAGTCTACTGATCCCTACATGATTGTCACCATAATGCCACAAATGCTGTTGATTGAGCTTAAATGAGTAGTTCACTTTTAAAAACACGTACTGATAATTTACTCACCCCCATGTCATCCAAGATATCCATGTCATTCTTTCTTCAGTCGAAAAGAAATTAACGTTTTTGATGAAAACATTCCAGGATTTTTCTTCATATAATGGACTTCAATGGGAACCAAACGGTTCAAGGTCCAAAAGACAGTTTCAGTGCAAACTGGAAACTGTTCAAAGGGCTTTAAACCAGATGATTCCAGATGATGAATAATCATCAACTTATCAAGCGAAAAGATCGCTCATTTTAAAAAAAAAAATAACAAAGTACTTTTATAAGCTCAAATGGTCGTCTTGCTCGGTTCTGTAAAACATTCGTGACTCTACTGTTCGAACTCGTTCATCAAAGTGAACAAATCTTTTCCAGAGTCAACTCGTTCATTTCGTTCGTTGAATGAACCAAATGACACGAAAAAAGATGCGTTCATTTTGATGAACGAGTTCGAACAGGAGAG